TTTTCCCTCTCTAGAACCTTACTGGAGTCGACCGGACGCAGGTTCTTAGTGTCCGGTCACTTCACCTCTCAGCGTCCGGTCACGCCAGACGCAATCACCTTGGTCAAATGAACTGATCGGACTCTGCGCCAGCGTCCGGTCAACCCGGAACCAGCGTCCGGTCAGTATTTGACCCTCCATTTACTTCCAACTCTCGATCATATGTGAATGAAGTTTGCTCCATTGGATCTAAGGGCTGTTTTGGAGCTACCTAGTGCTAGTTTTAACAAGTGTGCACCACACCTAACTCACCTAGGTCAAGCTACCCATCCATACCCCCCTTAATAGTATGGCCAAAGGAAAAACAAAGTCCTAAACTACTCTAAGTGTCTCTTCAACTCTAATTGACACTTAGAACTAGTCCATCCTTAACCTTGTCGTCCATCCTTTGAAAACCGAAATGATTTCCATCATAGGGGCATGACCACCTTAATTGCCCAATCGATCTCCATTACCATGACCTAACTTAATTGCCTCTGCAAAACACACGTTAGTCATACTAATCTTGTATTGTCATTAATCACTGAAACCCTACTAGGGGCCTAGATGCTTTCAGTAGTTAATAAATGAAACAATGATACTGGTGATCATGAGCTATGATGAGTAAAGAAGTGGTTGCTTTAGATCAGGTGCAAACTAGAGACTGATAATGATTTAACTTGAGCTAAAATATTGAAAGTAAGGATCAATCATTAGTAAGCTTTTCTACAAAAGTTAATCTTGATTCTTGCTACAGACTTACCTTGATATCCGTAAAGCCTGCATATCCTTGGAGTCTTTCCTTTTTGTCGGTTAAGTCTTGTTGAGTACCTTTGTACTCAGGGTTTGTTAACCCTTGTTGTAGGAGGAGAGCCAGCAGTAGAGAAGTTTGTTGTGCACCCTTGGGTAGGGTGAATATCTCTTGTGTGTACTAATGTGGTACCTGTCATGCTACCCTACTGCCTAGTTGGCTAAAGCTTATAGTTTGTAACAACTAAATGAATGATTTGTAAACTTATGGTTATAAGTCTTCCGCTGTTTACTCCAATGTAATCTATTTGTTTAAACTATTGTAATACTACAATATCTTCTGTAATGTGTCCTGCTCGGAAAGAAAAAGTGGATGATTCGGGTTTCCTGAGGACACCCGACAGACTACCGGGATTGTGTGGCTTACGTGTGCTTCGGTCAGAGGTTTGTGAGACAATGACAGGCACATGTGGGCCATATAATTCAGACAGTTCTGCCACATCAGTGATAAAATTAGTGTGCGCCTGTGACCTGATCGTCTGCGGGGCCGGAAGTCAAGGGTGTAGGTGCCGAGCTTGATCGCCCATTTAATGATGCGTCGTTGGCTTCCTTGTTGCAGAGGATGTCGCCGAGTGGGTACTCTATAACCACTGCTATGGGGTAGGCCTCAAAGTAGTGGCGGAACTTCCAGGATGTGATCAGAATGGCATAGAGCAGCTTCTAGACCTAAGGATAGCGAGCCTTAGACTCATTCAGGACTTCGCTGATGAAATAGACTGAGCGTTGGACTTTGTAGGCATGTCCGGCCTCTTCACGCTCGACAACAATGGACGTACTGACCACCCAGTTGGTCGCTGCAATGTCGTTGAAGATGTTGACACGATCGACGCAGGGTGATTCTGCACCGTCTCCACTATTTCCTCGACACCATTGGCGCCGATGACCTAGGTGATAGATCCGATCATGAAGGTCTGGCCTAGCTCGAGAAGGATCATGGAGCTCGGGAAGCGGACCATCTGGCTCACCATGGAATCAGCATGCACACCCCTTACCTGGCGCGCCACTGTCGATGAAATATGTTCGGCAGTATAGCGAGGGGTATGCCCACGGTAGTAGATGAATCGGTGGATGTAAGCGTGATGAGAACTAGATGATGACATAGAATGCAAGAGACAACGATTAGGCAGGTTCAGGCCATCAGCTTGACGTAATACCCTACATCATGTGTCTTTGGTGGATTATATTATGAGATGAGATATGAAAACGAGGGGGTCCCTACCCGCCTTATATAGCTCAGGGGTAGGGTTATAGGTCGGTTGTATCTATCCTGATCGGTTACAAGATATGTGTTTACAAGGAATACGATATCTAGCATATCCGATCAGATCTTCCTTCATCATCAAGGATGCTTTACGCAGTCTTGCGGCGCACGCCGACCTGTGTCGTGCCCTATGCGGCTTGATCTTGTGGGCTAGGCCTCCCCTGGCGGCTCGGCCCATGTACAACCTATGAGTATCGGGGGTCATACCCCTATAGTAGGTTCCACCACAAGGAACCTAACTAACTGATCTATGATTAGTTCACCATATGCCCACATGTTGACTAAGCAAAGTGTTACTAGCTCTGTTTAGTAATGGTTATGTGCTTAACATGTTGTAGAAGCTTGCACTTGTATGTTTAAATGTAAAATTGTTATTTTTATAGTTTGTGTTATGATTGTTAACAACCACCAATACATGTGCGCTCCATTAAACATGAAAAGCGGGAGAGTATCCCTCTTTACACCCTTTTTGACTTACGCTATGCTTGTGTCGCACACTAACTTGTTAGTAAAGCTTAATAATCAACTCATAAGAAAGTCATTGTCGGAGAAGATGAGGGTTGAACCTAAGAACGATTAGTTATCCTGGTTCATCATTATGACATCTTATTCTTGTCATCTTTAAAATATCATATTTATGCATAATTCATTGAAGCATGCATCTGAATCGATGCATGTTACTTAGGTACGATTGAGAATGGATGGATAAGCACGCGGGAGCCAAAAGCAAAGAAGGTGTTACGGTGGCCCAATCCTAAAGATGGTTTGATGGGGATAATGTACTGAAGATGCTGGGTGATCACGTCCTAAAGACGAAGCAATGCTAACTTGATATAATGATGGTTTACCAAGGCAAGCCCTAGTGCATGACCCCTATTTTACAAGCATTTTTTATTATGTTGGTTGTGCATTAACTTGTAGAAGTTGGTTGGAAACCACCTACACAAATGTTCTTATCCTATAAGTCTTACTAGTATGATAGGATTTGTGTAGGCCCTATGTTTAAGGATTCTAGTAGTACATGAGTAACCTGCTATTACTCAATAGGTATTATACTACTTTTACTATCATATAGTTTGGAGATGGATAATAACTGGAGACCGAGCGGGAAGTTGGTGGTTGGTGAGGCAACAAGACATGGAGGTCCTGGGTGCACTTTTAGTCCCACCTATGTCAATTAAGGACCATTCGTTGTTGGCTATATTGGACATGTTGAATAGTGCCAAACACATATTTGGTATTATGAAGGACCAAAAAGGCCAACATACCTTTCTTGCCCTAAGTTTTGGGTTTACACCAGGCAATGAGGTAGGGCAGCAAGGTAGGTAGAGGGCAGCAAACTTATGGCAAGGCCATAGTGTTTTGGGCTTGGCTCTCTTGGTTGGCCGGATAGGTTCAGGCTTAGTTAGCAAATTAGAGAACGATCTGCCTAATTAATGTGAACCCGACCAAGTTTGTATGGGCATGTGTTTGGAATACTCTAGTTTTGGATGTACATCGATTCAAATCGCCGCAAGTATCTCTCGGTTGTGAGTACCTTGATCCTTCCCATAACATCGTAGTAACAACTGAAACATGGAGTGAGGGTACTAATGGAACATGATATACTCTAATTGCTTACCACATGTTTGAAAGTAATACAGGTGCTTACCTAAACTGGTTAGTTAATGAACTTAATCTTGATTGTGAAAACATGAAACACAACGACGCACTATTAGTAACCTTCTTTACAAGAACAACTAAACAGCTAGAAAGAAAGTCCCTTGCATATCATTGAGAGTCGAGAAGTTATTCCTATCTAATCGGGTAAGTTTTGTTGAGTATATTGTGTACTCCGGGTTTTATTTCTACTATTGTAAGTAATAAGTGGATGCCGGACCTAATTGATGGCGTGTGTGTATGTACCTTCTGGTGGGCTCAGTAAGGCCTGATTGTAGGCTTTAAAATTGAAAATTAGTTTAATATTTGTTGCTTTTATGAAAACTTGTTTTGTAATAACTCGGATTCGCAAACTATGAGATGTAAGAAACGGTTAGGATGTTGTAAGCTTTTTTCACTTATTTATGATCCTGATGAAAACGTGGATTGTTTCAAGTTCTTTCTTTGAGTGTGTTCGACAGACTACCGAGTTTAACTTGGTCTCTCGTGTACTTAGTGTTAAATGGCTGACAAGTACACTTAGGATTAGGTTAAATTGGACAGTTCTGGCACATTAAGTGTCTAAATAAAATAAATATGATATGAGTCTCTTTTTTATTTTTAATTTAGACACATTTAGGATTTATCTAAGATGATGAGATTAAAGATGATTTATTATAATTTTTTAGCCAACATCAAAGTTGATATTTTTTAAGCCAACGTCAAGATATGGCATTTGTATCATATAATTCTTTTGGCAGGTGGTGAGCAAGCCCCCATATGTCTGAATCCTGGCTCTGTTCCTGTGCATGTCCTAATTAAACATGTATTATATGCACTAACCGCATACTAGTAAGGGGTATTATGAACATGCACATTACAATAATATATTTGCTATGTTGGAGAAGAGGATAGTCAATAGATTCTAATTATGTTTCTCCAATAACAATTATGAAGTCCATTTGAAACTAGACCAATATCATCATGAAATCCATTTTTCACCCATAAAGATAAAAACCATCTATGATCAAGTGCTCTTCTTTTGTTGTGGTTGGTTGTAATTCTTGGTTGAATACAAGTGTTGAAATATACCACATACAAGAATATCACTTGTTAGTTAAAAGAAGGTAAATCAGCCTCACACGATAGTTGAGGAAGTCAAAATGGCCTAATTCCTCCTCTCACGAAAAGATGTGTATGGGCCGCACCGTTGGCCATTCTAATTAGGGCCTCTTTGTATAGATTGCCTTTCTGGTTGGATTTCTGCGGGCTCTCACCGGGTCGTATAGCCGTTTGGTAGGCCCAAAGCGGCCCAAGGGGGCCACTCGCGGACGCCGCCCACCTCTCCCCACATCACCCTCCCCGGCACGTCGCAAACCTCGACACCACCGCCTCCCGCCGCGTCTCCCCTCCTAGCGCGGCCGCTGCGGCTCCCCTCTTTGCTCGGCCGCGGGCCACCGCCGGCGTCTCTCGTCCGGTCGGTCCTCTGAGTCTCGGTTACCTGCTCCCTCCGCCGAATCCTCGGGGCCCTGCTGTCGCCACCGCGGAATCCTGCTGCACTGGCCGCAGCCGGGGAACGCGGCCTGTTGCGGGAGCCGGCGCCACCTCCTTCTCGGTGCGTCGTCACGGAGGGTATTTTCCCTTTTATTATCTCCATCTCCCTAAGGATCGGTCATGGTCATACCCGGCTTCTTTGGGATTTGGACCGTTGAGCATTCTACCGAATCTAGGTCCCCAATCCATAACCGAAACCGCCTCATGGATTCTAATCCATGGTTGCGTCGAACACCTACGGGGTTTTTGTTTTCGCTGGCGCAATTTTGCTGCACATTGAATATTTTTACTGGCGCAATTTTACTCCACATTGAAACAGACCGATAGGGTCTTATGATACAGGTATTTAATGGCCCTGGTATCCGTACGAAAATGCCACTACATTTGTGCAGTTTGCATGCTACCATATGACATACCCTCCTGTTGAAATTTTGCTGTAGCTAGACCAGAAAAAAAAAAGGAGAGCCGCACTGCGATTTCATGCATGTAATTCAAATGGACTTTACTTGCATGGTACTAGTAAAAATGTGGCATATTCGTTAATTTAGGGCCTGTTTGGATCACCGGACTAAAGTTTAGTCCGTCGTTGGATAATAGGCTAAACATGGACTAATTCAAATTTTCTTTTTTCTAATGAGTTCTACTCATCAATTAGCCTCTACTAGTTTTTGTTAGACCATGGTCAGTTCATTTTTAGGCCTTCTATTTGTCATCCAAAACATGAACTATATCTTATTCTCCTAATGCGTGTTTGTTACTAGTCTGTATTTGTGTGACAGTGCTGTCATACATGACCATTTATTTATTATGTGATGCCAACTGTTGCTGGGTGTAGGAGTATGTACAAGTGCACACCCATGTCCTTTACTGGGTCTGCCCCTGTTCTTCATTGGAGCTCAATAAATGCTATGCACCGAATAGCTGACCTTTCTCCCTGCATTATAGAGTTTACGCTAAAAGTAAAGAAAGTAGAGAGTTACATGAAAGTATGGTACAAAAGTTGGGGAAAGGAAAGCAGTGAAAGAAATAGTGACAAGGGGCTCGGAAGTAGGAAGTATAATATCATTGGATTCCGCAGCTAGGTGATACCGACCTTAAAGCCAATCAATCTATGTTTTGAGCCTCTTAGCCTTAGGGAATCCCTAAATTTCCATAGCTCTTTTATATCTTTAATTTTCTCTTTCCATCTGTTGTGCAGACTACAATGGATCAACATGATTCCATGGCTGACTCACCAAGGAGGCGTCATAACCTTCTGCGTGACAAGGTCCAGCTGGTGAAAAGGAAGGACTCAGATCGCTATGAGATTGTCCGCTTCCATGATCCATTGTCTTTTGAGAAAGGCTTCTTTGTTGTGATCCGTGCCTGCCAGCTTTTGGCGCAGCACAATGACGGGTTAATATTTGTTGGTGTTGCTGGCCCCTCTGGTGCTGGGAAGACAGTGTTTACTGAGAAGGTGGTCAATTTCATGCCCGATGTTGCTGTTATATCAATGGACAACTATAATGACGCAACTCGCATAGTCGATGGCAATTTTGATGGTAGTCCTAATCATCAAACATTTTGCATATTGTCTTATAGTATATTTAATATGTATATGCCATTTCCTTTGCATCAACAAAATTTCTGAAAAAAAAGGGATAGTTATGTTACGTATATGTTGAGCTGTGTCTCTTGCACATTTGCTCATTTGGAAACTGCATACCACTGCATTGAGGCATTGATAATGGCATGGTTATTATCTTATACTATAAGATTTATGAAGCAATGTTAGTATCAGAGCGCTCTATTATTACAAGCTGCATTCTCTAAGGTGATAATGTTTCCAACCAGAGAAATTGATATTTTAACCTCTTAAAACCTGCTCAGATCCACGTCTAACAGACTATGACACACTGCTGGAAAATATTCATGGTCTGAAGGAAGGACGATCGGTTCAAGTTCCAATATATGATTTCAAGTCGAGCTGCCGGATTGGTTATAGGTAAATAATCACTGCCATCTTTCAATATTAGAAGCTAAGGTCCGTATTTTCATCTTTCATTTTAATATCATAATTTCTTATGTGCAAACAGAACAGTTGATGTCCCTAGCTCCCGAATTGTTATCATTGAAGGTATTTATGCACTGAGTGAGAAGTTACGGCCTGTGATAAACTTGCTTGTTTCTGTCACTGGTGGTGTTCATTTTGACCTAGTGAAGAGGGTTTTAAGGGATATACAACGAGCTGGCCAGGAGCCTGAAGAAATAATTCATCAGATCTCTGAAACGGTAGGTTGAATTTTTCAACTTTAACTATAGATTTTATGAGCAGTCTTGTGGTTCATGTTAGCATGTGAATTACCTCTTACTGTAATTGGTGTGGTTTATTGAAAGATGGCATTTTCAGGTTTATCCAATGTACAAGGCTTTCATCGAACCAGATTTGGAGACCGCACATATTAAAATCGTCAACAAGTTCAACCCATTCTCAGGGTTCCAAAATCCTATGTACATTCTAAAGGTAGGCATCTCAAGATTCAAGAAAGTTCTAGAATTGTGCACCAATGACATAGTTTCAAGGACAAACTTTTTTTATGATTAACCAAGAAAATTGTTGAATTGTGCACTGCCTGTTGGTTATACTCATATACATACTTGCAGTCACCAAGATCTCTAGCACCTGAGAAAATCAAGTCCGTACTTGGTGATGGTCATACGGAAAGCAATGAAGAAACTTATGATATATATCTACTTCCACCTGGTGAAGACCCAGAAGCATGCCAATCTTATTTGAGAATGCGGAATAGGGAAGGGAAATATAATCTAATGTTTGAGGTATATTGGTTTATGTTTTTTCCTATCTTACCAATGGAATTTCAGTTTTATGTTTAGTGACTACGAATTGTACTTTTGAGTGATATTGTTGGTTGATCATGTTATGATACTACTATTGTATAAGGTTATTTGGATTAAGTCCACTCCTTAGCTGCCATGTAATTTTATTCCATACACATACTTTCCCCTGGAATCTTTGTTAGAACTTGAAAAAGTTCAGTTCAATTTTCATTATAGTGAGATTCTAAATTTTACTTCTCCTTTTATATTTACTTAGTCTGCTTAGTTTAACAAATGTGATCAGTCTTCTGCTGTTGGCTTAGATTTACCTGTATTTGTTTTCTATTGACCGTTGCTACGTGCAATAAACAAACTCTTGCTGGCAGCCCTAGTGTTCACTGTCTTATGTTACTTTATGTTCAAAGGAATGGGTGACCGACAATTCATTTATCATATCACCAAGGATCACTTTTGAAGTCGGTGTACGTCTTCTTGGTGGTTTGATGGCATTGGGATATACTATAGCAGCTATACTGAAGAGAAGCAGTCGTGTTTTTTCTGATGGCAAGGCAACTGTTAAAATTGATTGGCTGGAACAACTCAACCGACACTATATACAAGTGAGTATAATTTTTGTTGTTTGGTTGATGTAGTTTCTGTCAATGTCATTGTTATCTCAATTTCTTGAGCACTATTTATTTCATTATTACTTTTTTTTTTGTCTCAATGACTATTTAAGACATGCAAATGTTATGACCTTGCTTCTTTCTTTAGGTGCAAGGAAGAGATCGGGTTTATGTTAAATTTGTAGCGGATCAGTTAGGTTTGGATGGTTCTTATATACCACGCACATATATTGAACAAATTCAGCTGGAGAAATTGATTAATGATGTTATGGTATGTATATTTTGTTAGTTATATTGCTTACATTGTATTTTCACATGTCTTCTCGTTGTTTCGTTTAGTTCATTCATTGGATCTCACTGCTATGCAGGCATTACCAGAAGATTTGAAGACAAAGCTCAGCATTGATGATGAGCTTGTCTCAAGTCCAAAGGAAGCCTTTTCCCGTGTTTCTGCTGATCAGAGAAACAAACTTATGAAAAGGTTTCATACTAACATCCTTGTTTTGAGTTTGAGCAGTTGCTCCTGGAAAGTTGAATACTTGGAACTTTGGAACCTGAATAAAGTTAGCTGACCTTTTCTTGTCATGTTGTCCAGTGGCCTATCTCAATCATATTCAACGCATAGAGACAAAAGTGTTGTGAAATTGAGTAAACTGACAGACAGGAGGTTTGGTGGAGGGCCAGACCTTGAACCTCCTGCTATCGACCAGGTGACTTTTGTAAAGACTTATAACTAGCATGACAGTTGAAAGCCTAAATGAAAACATATGTGATCGTTGACATGCAAATGTTCTGGTTTCCACTTCTATTTTATAGGGTGCTATCACCCAGCTTTCAGAACAGATATCAACATTGAATGAAAGGATGAATGAATTTACCTCTCGAGTTGAAGAACTCAATTCAAAATTTTCATTGAAGAAACATTTGCCCAGTCAGCAGAACTTAGCTCTTCCAAATGATGCTTGTAGTGGTTCCACACCTACAAATCTCTTTGTCTCTCAGTTAGGCAATGGTACTCTGATACCTCATTCTTCATCGTCAAACCAACTTTCAAAGGATTCCCCGATGATAGAAGAGGTATCTCTCTCTGCCTCCTCCCTACCTTTTTTATAGCTTGTTGGAAATAGATGTAGCTGTCAACATTGTTTGAACATTAGTTTATCAAACAATTTTTAGATCAGTGTGAATTTTTAGACCTCAAATAGATCCTAATAATTTGATAAAAATAGCAAAGGGTCAGGGCTTTCATTAGTGTCCTCAAGTTAAGTGGATAAGTGGGTCACAAATTAAATCCTATTCGAGTTTATCTAGTCTGAAATAAATAAAAAAGAAGTTTTTCATTTCCAGCACAGGTAGTGTAGCAATACCGCAATGGCCAAAAACTATGTAACTATACATCTATGAATGTGAAATCATATCTGGGTTGCCAAATACACATTGTGTGAGAACAATAATTTTGGATGGTTTCATAACATAGTTTGATGTAATATTAGTATTCATGCACAGACTAACAAAATCAATGAAACTAAATATCATCTACTGCGGCAACTAGTAGATAATTGAGACTCGTATGCACCTTCTGCAACATTCAGCTGTATTGCAAGAAACAATCCCATTTTGTGGGCTCTTTCTGTGGGTCTCATTGCTGAATTCTTGGAGCTTTGGGCTGTTATATCAGAAGTAGTTCTTCGTCCCGGAGTGGAGGACCTGCATTCTTGGCATTTTTCCAGCTATCTTTACTCAGCGAAATCTGCATATATTGAGTTGTTTCAAGGCGCTGTCCTTTTTGGTCCCTGGGAGAGAATTTGGAGATCATGGGCACCGGGCAAATGTCATTTTTTTATGTGGCTGGTGGGTGGTGGCTCACAACAAATGTTGGGCAGCGGATAGACTTGAAAACAGAGGTTTGCGACACCCAACCTGCTGCCCCCTCTGTGCCCAGGAGCCTGAAACGATCAACCATTTGCTGGTTGGTTGCGTGTTTGCCCAATAATTCTGGTTCTTGTTGCTCCAAAGGGTTAGGTTGTAGAGCCGTTCTCCGCAGCCTATGGTCCCATCCTTTGATAATTGGTGGTCTGATGCAAGTTCCAAGGTTGATGGGGAGGTCAGACAGGACCTCAATTCAATGATCATTTTGGGAGCTTGGTCTATTTGGAACCTCCGCAACCGGTATGTTTTTGATGGAATATCACCGAGTTTATCCTTGATCGTGGTCCAGGTTAGAGATGAGTTGAAAGTTTGGGATTTAGCTGGTGCATGTGGTATTTCCTACCCCACTGCCCTAGCTAAAAAAATGTGGCACTAATATTCATGTGGCAAAGGTTCTTAATGACAGGACTCTTGAAGCTTCCAATGAGCATATTATTGTTTTTCTTCCCCGTAGATAGTGATGTCGTTGGGTACCTATACCCATTACCCATATCCACACCCATGACAAACAGACAGGGTACGGGTGTACCCATTTGAAGCGTGTAGGGGATGGATGTACCCGTTCATGAATAGGGTACAGGTTGGGTATTAACGTGGTTACCTGTTCATACCCATGGGCAATCTCCAGTCTACGGAGCGTGGGAGGCCTCCGCCGCCGATGGTGCCCGGGTAAGGCGTCTGCCCCGACAGTGACCAGCCAAGGCCTCCCACTGGTGGCTCCGTGCGGCGTCTCCTCGCCGGCTGGATGCGACGTGCCCCGACGGCTCCGCACGATTCATCTTTGTTTTCTTCCCCCAAAACATCAAGCGCTAGGATAGCTCGGTCCGATAGGAGCTCAATCGAGACAATTCCTTGTGTGCCATTAAAAAAGATCGCAATGCCCTGTGTGCCCCTAGAAAAGTTCAGCGGTCTTCAGCGCCACTACTCCAACTTTTTCGTGTCCTCCATGCCATTTCAAGTCAATTTGGCTCTCTTATTTATATCAAGCTGCATTTAGGTGTGAAAAGGCAAAAATATGATTTTTAAGTCTAAATATATTATTAATTTTTTTGAGCATCTTAACAACTTCAAATGAAAAAACTCAAAACTAGAAAGTTGTAGATCTCGTTGAGATCTATAATTTTCATAGTTTTTATTTTCATTTAATTTGAAAAAAATATGATTTTTTGCTCAATATATTAATCATATCAAATCATTTAGACTTAATTAAATTGAATTTTTTTATATAAAGTATAGATCTTGACGGATCTACAACAGTTAGAGCCCAAACTGACGGAAGTGGCATGGAGGACATAAAAAAGTTGGAGTAGTGGCGTTGAAGACCGCTGAACTTTTCTAGGGGCACACAGGGCATTGCGATCTTTTTTAATGGCACACAGGGAATTCCCCCCAATCCGAGAGTATGGGAGTCTAATCTGGGGAGAAGATGCCAATTTGGTCTGGGAGAAGTTTGATCTGTGGTATGGGAGTCTAGGAAAAGTTCGATCTGTGAGTATGGAGTCCAATCCTTTATCTTCTTGAACATGTGTCTTCTTCCCCATGACCTGGATGAGCAACATGAACACAAAAATGACATGTGCGCTTCCTGTGAGGTTACAAATATTTCCTGTGAGTACGTGATGCCACCAAGCATATCATTAGCTATTATCCATTATCCATTAGGTATGGGTAATTAAAATTTTATTGGGTATGGAGAGGGTGTGGATTGGAGAAACACCTTTTGGATGTGTATTGGGGAAAGCGCTGGCGTGCCCAGATTTTGTCCAATGGCATCACTACCCGTAGATATGTATTGTGCAAAGCCTAGATTGAATGAATATGTACTCTTGACATTGCATAATTTTTTATGCAAGTTGTTCGGTTATTCAATATGTTGCTATTTCGATTAGTATTTATTGTAAACCTCACCATAAAAGCATGTGTTGGTTGTGCGTATCTTAATGTGACACATTCTTTTGTACATATCTTGATTTGACATTTCAAGTTTGGTGCTTGGTTGTGCGTATCTTAATGTAACACATTCTTTTGTACATATCTTGATTTGACATTTCAAGTTTGGTGCTTGGTTGTGCGTATCTTAATGTAACACATTCTTTTGTACATATCTTGATTTGACATTTCAAGTTTGGTGCTTTGTCTCCTATGCAGGTTATGAACATATCAAGAGGTCAGCGCCAGGTTATACATCAGCTCGACAATCTGACCAATCTGCTTCATGAGCATTTGGTCTTAACACGCCAAGCAAATACTGCCAGCAGGAACCGGGTACTGGATATTGACATGGTCATCTGTCCACTTATTTGCCTGACTGTTGCCAGTATTGGGTACTTCATGTTTAAAAGTCTCAACCGAGGCTGACCAAAGTGAGTCGGCTCAAACATGTGCTCTGAGGCTCACCATCTAGTCTAGTTTTGGCGAAACTGGAGGAAGTCAATTGTCACAACTCACAACTGATCTGCAATATCCCTGAGTCCAGATTTCATACTGATGTTCTCTCTTCTACAAGCTAAAAGGAAGACGGTTCTCAAACTTTTTACATCAGGAAGGACATATCTACCAGCTTACAAAGTACTAATAATACAGATAAACTCATATACCAGCACAAGCAACAAGGCCTTTGTTTTTTAGGGTATTACTTCCAAAAGCAGAAAATGGTGTCCCAGGAGCATATACTTCTTGTGTAACGGGTACTGGCAGTCCCCAATACCAATAAATTTTGGAGATGATAGTAAATAATGTCTGGAGAAATTATGAGAGATCGACAAGTTTTACAGAATGCCACTGTTTGTCTCGTGATTTCTGAGTGTAAACATTATTGTCCTGTTTGCAATGTCGTCTTTATTTATTCTCTTTGAAATGCACCACACAAGCTCCCATTCATGTTGTGCGAAATCGATCACCCGAAGCCTAACTTAATCTACTTGGCTATTTGGTATTCGGATCTGATCTAATTACAAGTGTAGACATGCCTACTAAGTTGCATTCTTTTTGCAAAAATTAATTGTGTGTGTACAGGTGTACACTACACCCATGTCCTTTGCTGGGTCCGCATTCGTTCTTCAATTAGAGCTCAATTAAAGATTCTGCACTGAATAGCCGACCGTTCTCCCTGCGTTATAGAATTTGGGCTAAAAGTAAACATTAATAACAAGTTACATGGAAGTATGGTACAAAAGTTGGAGAAAGGAAAATAGTGAAAGCAATAGTGACAAGGGGCTCTGATGCACAAAGTACAGTATAATTGGATTTGGCAGTTACTCCCTTTCACCCATTAAAAATATCGTTTGTTTTATTCAAAAATTTAGTATAAATATTATATATTTTGTTATAACTTATTTTATCATTAGAGATACATTAATAATAATTTATTTATTTTATTATTTGCATAAATTTTTTTGCATAAGATGAATGGTCGAGAAGTCTAAAGTCAAAAACGACACCGGAGCGAGCGGTGAGATCGACCTTGAATCCGATCAATCTGTCAGTGTCCGGCCCAGTGTCGTGCACTCCCCGGTGTGCGGGGCCCTAGGGCTTCCCGTCCTCTTGGTGTCGGATGCATGTGAGGAAGCTGGTGGTGGCATCGGCTGTCATGCCGAGCACAAGGAGAGCCAGCAAGTTGGTTGCAACCAAAGTAGATGCCGCCGTGGCTGCCCAGGCCCCGGTGCTTCTGCTCGTGTGGCTTATGAATGGGTGGAACCCCCCAAAAAAATGGGTCGGCTCAACGGAGTTGTTACACTATTTTTTATGTTTTAATATTGGATAGTTAACCCAACCGGTGACTCGTTATTATACACTATACATGGACGATGCTGCAGTGTTCCTCTCCCCAATATAGGAAGATGTATCGATCTTAAGAGGAATTTTACATCGATTTAGCCTAGTCACTGGTCCGGTACTCTGGTCACAAACCTTGAGAAGAGTGTGGTTGTAGCCATGCATGGGCGTTAACTTACAACAGGTATTGGCAGGCTTCCTGACAACTAGAGAAACCTTCCCCTTTAAACCTTGGCTTGCCACTCACCTTAGCTCGGCTAAGGAAAATTGACCATCAATCGTTCATTGACAAGACGACTTCCAACCATGCACATTGGCAGAAGAAGGTACTCACCCGAGCTGGCCAAAACACTAATCAAATCGGTCCTTTCTTGGCAGCCAATTGATTTTCTCACTTCGCTCGAACCACCCAACGGCATCCTCGTCGAGTAAGATAGTACTTTCGGTCAGGCTAGCGCCTGAGAGTCCGGACAGACACGCACGTCCAGACGCCCACACCGCACCTGCGCGTATGAATGCTTCCGTCCATACGCTCGTGCCGCACCCGGGCATATGCATGCTGCTGTGCCAGCCAGTACGCCTGCGCCTGCTTCACATGAGGGCCACGCGCGCCCCTGCGCACCCATGTGGGGGGCCACGTCTCCATCTACGCCCGCTCCGTTTCCCACGCCTGTCCCTTGCGCCCTCTTTTCTCCCACGTGCATGCACACGGGTCCAGTAGCTGTAGCATGTGGCTGCAGCAGGTGGATCCCACTACAACATGTGCAATACCAGATCTACTTTTGCAACATCTAAATAAATACTTACAACATACGTCCGAAATAGTTAAAACACTTGCAACATACATCTGAAACGTCAGAAAAACACGTGTGTAGCCATTGCAAAACATATGCAACATCCAGATGAAACACTTGCAACATATGTATGAAACACCTGAAACACTTGAAACATACGCTTGCAACATATGCATGTATATGGAACATTCAGATCTACTTTTACAATATCCAGATAAAACACTTGCAACATATGCCTGAAAATAGATGAAACATTTCGAACATACAATTGCAACATGTGCAACATCCCGATCTACTTTTGCAACATCAATATAAAACACTTGCAACATACCTATGAAACATTACAAACACTTGAAACATACGCTTGCAACATGAGCGCAACATCTCCTTGTGCTTGGAAGAATGGAGGCTCGTCGGCATGTGGAGTTCACTGGGGTAGAGCTCACCCGTGGCGCGGAGATCGCCGCTCCGGTGGAGAAGGTCGCGGTAGGTGTGGTGCAGAAGGCCGCGGGGGGTCTTCACACTGTGTGGGTGGAGCGTGAGCTGTGCGCGGGCAGTGGCGGAGCGTGAAGCCTAATATAGGGGGGCCATTTGTCAAATCCGAGACAATATATAGAGAAGTTCCATAGAAATAAGTTTTGGTTCTAAACTACATGGTCTATGAAACATAGTCGAACGAGCGTGGGCGTGGGGGCACCGCCGCCCGCCAGTCGAGGCCGATGATGAGTCGACGAGTCAACTGGCAAGGCCGCCGCGAGGCATCGATAGCTCCGGCCTCTGGCTTCAGGCTCGTTGTCTGTGAGCCTCCACCGGCCGTCTTGGCCACTTGGTGGATGTGGATTATTTTCTTCCCCTTTGCATTGCATGTTGAGCAATGCCAGGTCCCAGGTGCCACCAGTCATGTGGCTCCTGCATGCATAATGGGCTGGATTGCATGTGGCCGGTGGCCCATCGCCTATGCCTTGTGGGCTGAATTAGCTAGCCTAGCCATCCAGACTTGCACAACAACATAGATACGCTGCACAGCAGCATAGATCTTCATTTCTTTTTTGCGTGGCAGGGGGGCGGAGCCCTCTATGGCCATAACGTGGCTCCGCCGGTGTGCGCAGGGTAAGCTCTGCTGTGAGTTGTGTGTGGGAGAGTTCCATCACGGCCGTCGCGAGTTGCTCGCGGGCATGATCCACCCCGCCCATGGCGAACTAGGTAGGCGGAGCACGAGATGTGCGCGGGCGGACTCCGCTTGGGCTGCCGTGAGTTGCACGCGGGCGGACACCACCCCCGCCCACGGCGAGCTAGGTAGGCGGAGCACGAGAAGTGCGCGGGCGGCCTCCGCCCCGGTCGGTTGCCGTGAGCAGCGCGGGTGGAGCACTGCGAGCTATGCGCCGGCCGAGCTCCGCCGGTGTTTTTTTAGAAACTGCGGTGTCTGGAGAGTTGGACGAGCGGATAGGAGGGGATCGTTTGGGCTTACGTCGCGGCTCACGAACGTAAGCGTCCAGGCAAACATACGCCCTTGGGAGAGCATTTAGCACTTTATATGGATGGGACTATGGGAGGCACATGCATCAAAGAGGAAAAATACAAAGTCACATGGAAGCGAGCTCATAGGCCCACGAAGCTTGGTGAGCTAGGAATTCTAACATTCACATCGTTTTTTAAGCACTCGAAATTAAGTGGCTACGGCTAGATTGGACAAGTCTTAGTCTGGGATAAAGGCACCGTATACAAAGTCAAATCGTCACCTTAATGCAGCCACAAAGATCACAGTGATGAATCAAAAACATCCTTTTGGCATTAGGCATGGATGAATGGTGAATGCCCAAAGGACTTGGCACCCTGATTTTTAAAATTGGTAAAAGAAGAACAAAACCGTGCAACAAGCTTTATCCAAAAATAATTAGGTGAGAAATATTAATCTCTTAACATTTACTATCCTGCACCACTTGACTCAATTTATTCAGTTTTGGCAAAGAGCACAGAGTGTGGAATTAAACTCGACAACTCAGGACCAAATTACATAGAAGCTCACTGCATCTGGAGAATACATAACTTGCTCATCATACTTAGCACAATTCGTATGCCGTAAACACAAACTTCAGCAAATTAATTTAGAAAACTTGGGCACCTCTAACTTGCAAGTTCTTTCAACGGTTAGCGATACACAATCGACTTCGGGCAGCTCATCGATCATACACCTTTTTGCCCATTGCAGATAATCAAAATGGATTTGGGATGCAATACATTCATGGACCAATGGAAATTTTCCTAGCTCTGAAGATTGGTCCAACATGGTGGCACTCGGTGGGGACATCCATAGGTTTTTCAAGTAAAACGGTAAGATTGTTGTCACTTCTTGTCACGTGACTCCTTGGTCAATGCGGTTCTCCTTGGCACAAGACTTGGACGAAAGCCTTGCTAAGCTCCACGCTTGGCTGACGATGATTACGTTCTGGCGTCATTTATCTCCTTGGAGGCATCGTCGAAGAGCTCTTGTGCCATGATGTTCTTGTTTTCTCCTTGTTTTGTTGTATTTGTGGTTGTGCCACCTTTCTCCCTTACGCTGGGGCGTGTTGTTGTTTTTCATACTCGTGGATAGGCCACAAACTCGCCTATGTGCCGGGGCTGTTGTACTGGTTTTAGTCCAGTTTTTCAAAATTAACCAGATGAAAGGGTTTTGCCTCGTTTTTCCAAAGAACGATGTTGTTGATTTCATATTAATGTATATTCAGGTGGGGATTATCCTCCCCCATGGCAGTTAAAAAATTCTTGGCACCGACTTTCAAGCATCAACAC